AATGGCATATTAGGGTGCATTAGGAGGGGCATTGCCAGGAGATCCAGAGAAGTGATTATTCCCCTTTATTGGGCTCTGGTGAGCCCACATCTGGAGTATTGTGTCCAGTTCTGCCCCCCCAGCAGATCCAGAGAAGTGATTACTCCCTTTTTGTTTTTGCATTCGTGTAGTTACGAATCAAGATAGGCCTGCAGTTCTGGGGCCCCCACTACAAAAAGGATGCGGATGCTTTGCAGAGGGTCCAGTGGAGGCAACCAAAATGATTTGGGGGCTGGAGCACATGACCTATGAGGAGAGGATGAGGGATTTGGGCTTGTTCAGTCTGCAGAAGAGAAGAGTGAGGGGGGATTTGAGAGCAGCCTTCGACTCCCTGAGGATGTTTCCATAGAGGCTGGAGAGAGGCTGTTCTCAGTAGTGGCAGATGCAGAACAAGGAGCAATGGGCTCAAGTTGCAGTGGGGGAGGTCTAGGTTGGACGTTAGGAAAAACTATTTCCCTAGGAGGATGGGGAAGCTCTGGGATGGGTTCCCTAGGGAGAGGTGGAATTTCCATCCCTAGAGGTTTCTAAGTCTCAGCTTGACAAAGCCCTGGCTGGGTTGATTGAGTTGGGATTGGTCCTGCTTTGGGCAGGGGGCTGGACTTGATGACTCCTGAGGTTTCTTCCAGCTCTAGGATTCTAGGCTTCCTCCTCTTCCCCCGTGTCTCTGTGCCCTGGGAGGATGACGACGGGCAGAGGGATGGCCTCACAGCCTAGGATGTGGTGTAGGCCCTCATAGCTGGGGCAGGTGTGGGGTTCTGCCCCAGAGTGGGAGCTCTGCTCCTGCGCCTTGGCATAGGCCTGCCAGAGCTCCTTAACTTTCATCCACACCTGCACCTGGGTGCGGATGTGCCTCTTGGCAGCCAGGCCATGTGGTCGCAGACATCAGCGTTCCGGAATCTGATGCGGAGATCCTGGAGGTTGGTCTCGTTGCCCCAGACATCAGCAAGGGCCGGGATCTCCGCACCGGACAAGGAAGGAGCGCATCTCTTCCGTCCCTGGGCAGGTTCCTGGGAGCAGGGCCGGGCTGGGTGGGAGCAGCAGGCTCTCATTTCAAGCTAACTACAAGCCGGGGAAGCTTCTGGGTGGCTCAGGGCTGTCGGGGCTGCTGTCTGACACGAGCCCTTCCCCCGAGTGTGACGGGATCAGGTAACAGAAGACCCCTTGGGGTGATTTTTGGGGTGCTGACAAGGCCACTGCCACTCGACTTCCTGCTCACTGGGGCTTCTCCCCGCCCGGTCCTGCTGGGCCAGCTCCCTGGTCTCCCCCAGCCAAGGCCCCGAGCTGAGACATCTTCCCCCCAAGAAGCAGCACAGACACTGAACATCTTCAGGTCCAAAGGGAGGGCAGTTTGGGGCCCAGCTCCCTGGGATACCCCTCCCCAAATGGGATCAAATCCCCCAGTGAATTACTTTGGTGAGTCCCCCCTTAGCAAAGAAAGGGGAACGTGCCCCCTGGTTGCTCCCTCGGCTCGATAGGAAATAAAAGGGATTTTATTCAGTACAAGCCGTAGGACTGAAGTGGTGATAAGTGAGAACAGGCCAAGCAGAGAAGAGTACAGACTCAAAATAACAGGAAATGCTTGGCTAATTCTGCACTGAAACCTCAGAACAAACTCTCCCTAATGCTGTCTCTTTCCAGCAAAGCCTCCAAACCACGGCACTCCGTCACCTTGGGGTCTTGGGGTCCTTCCCTTGGGTGGGCCAGCCAAAGACCCACACCCCTCCTTTCCTATTATTTTTAAAGAATCCCCTTTTGCATGGGAAGTCACCCATGGGTGGACACGTTACTTCCTCAGACCAATCACTGCCATGACTTAACGGAAAAAAGGTGATTTGCATATGACTGCCCAGACACTGAGGCCTCCCTTGATGACTTTCCTTCACCCATTTAAAACCCATAAAGCATTCCCCACTCTATGGGCTCGTCTACATTGGCCCCTTTTCCGGAAGTAGGAAGTAGGAATAAGATCCTCCGGAAAAGGGCGCTTTTTCCGGAGGATCGGGGCCAGTGTAGACGCTCTTTTCCGGCTTTTCTAAAAGCCGGAAAAAAGCGGCGGATATTTTTATTTAAATGCCGCGGGGGATATTTAAATCCCCCGTGGATTTCCCTATTACGGTCTCTGAAATTAACATGCCCCTTCCGGAAAAGGGGCCAGTGTAGACGTAGCCTATATGTCTAATTTTACACACAAGAATGATTCACACACCAAAATCAGATAGACAGACCCAGCGGACCGAGGCATGAAGTCTGGTAGGTTACATGAAGTAATTTGCTCAAATTATTTTGAAAGAACTGCAGCCACTGTCCTTACAGGCACTACTTCGAAATAGCTATGCTGGAAGAGGTGTTATTCCGTGTGGAATCAGGTTTAAAAGCACCAAACTAAGCCACCCATTATTTTGAAATTTTGGAATAATGGATGTTGCTGTGTAGATGCACCCTATGGCTGCGTCTAGATTGGCATGATTTTCCGGAAATGCTTTTAATGGAAAAGTTTTCCGTTAAAAGCATTTTTGGACCAGAGCATCTGGATTGGCGCGGACACTTTTCCGCAGAAAAGCATCCATGGCCAATCTCGACGCGCTTTTCCACAAAAAAGCCCCGATTGCCATTTTCGCCATCGGGGCTTTTTTGCGCAAAACAAATCTGAGCTGTCTACAGTGGCCCTTTTGCGCAAAAGCTTTTTGCAAAAGGGACTTTTGCCTGAATGGGAGCAGAATAGTATTTCTGCAAGAAGCACTGATTTCTTACAGTAGGAGGTCAGTGCTTTTGAGGAAATTCAAGTGGCCAATGTAAACAGCTGGCAAGTTTTTCCGGAAAAACTGGCCAGTCTAGACACAGCTTATATGTTTTCAGATGAAATCCTTAATTATTTGTCCCATTATCTTTCCTCACACAGAAGTTAAGCTGACTGGTCTGTAGACTCGGGTTGTGCTTGTTTCCCTGTTTTAGATGGGCAGTATATTTGCCCTTTCCCTCTATTTTGGAACTTCTCCCAGGTTCAGGATTCCCAGCATACTTAAGGAATGCTCCTTAAGTACCCTGGGAAGAATTTCATGAAGCTCTAGTGTCTTGAAGACATCATAGAATCATAGGGCTGGAAGAGACCTCAGCAGGTCATCTAGTCCAAAAGCAGGACCAAACCATCTTAGTCAGGGGTTTGCCATGCGTGACCTTGAAACCTCTAAGGATGGAGATTCCACCCCCTCCCTAGAGAACCCATCCCAGCGCTTCACCACCCGTCTAGGGATACAGCTTTTCCCACTATCCAACCTAGACCTCCCCCACTGCAACTTGTGACCATTGCTCCTTGTTCTATCTTTGTCACCATGAAGATCAGCTTCTCTTCATACTCCTTGGAACCCCCCTTCAGGAAGTTGCAGGCTGCTCTCAAATCCCCCCTCACTCTTCGCTTCTGCAGACTAAAAAAGCCCAAATCCCTCAGCCTCTTATGGGTCATGTGCTCCAGCCCCCGAATCATTTTGGTTGCCCTCCGCTGGACCCTCTCCAATGCGTCCACGTCCTTTCTCTAGTGGGGGTCCAAGTGTTGGATGGAGTACTCCAGATGTGGCCTCCAGATGGGTTTTCAGTCCGTACCCATTGGGGGTCCAAGTGTTGGATGGAGTACTCCAGATGGGTTTTCAGTCCGTACCCATTGCTGGAACCCCTGTGTGCTACAGGCTGTAGCTGACAAGGAAAGGGAACTGAAAGCCAAAGGATGAATGTTACTGGGGACACTCTGCACTCAGGATTTTTCAGATGAGCTATGGGGCCCACAGGCCGTATGATGCACAATCTCTCCCACCTGCTGCAAAACCCTGCTCCCCATCCTCAGCAGCTTTTAGACGATGTCCCGGCTGCCCTCTCTCCTTCTGTGCCTTGCACTGGCCCGAGGTGTGAGTCCTCGCAGCAGAGTCCTTGCGGTCCCAGCTGTGGTGCAGAGGGGGATGAGATGAGGGGGGAAGGAGGTGGAGATTGTGACACGTTGGCACCCCCTATTCACCACTGGCCCAAGGTTACGGTGCAGTGTGAGCAATGGCTGCCTCATGAGCTGCTCTTCTCAACGTCTGACTGAGTGGAACGCCAGCAGGCTGGGAAGCGGCCTGTGCCCTCAGGGAAAGTTGTGGAGTCTGGCTCCATCCAAGCTGCAGAAACAAGGGTGACACGGAGAAACCCTCGCTCCCCCTTCCAGGTACAATCGTCAGAAGGCCAAAGGCTATTGACGGCTGAGTGGGTGAACACACCCAAGCCCAAGGTAGGTGCAGGTCCACTGTCCATTGTGGAAGTGGCATAGGGGGTAGGAACACATTCTCCTCAGAGTTCTGACAATGGCTGAACAACGCCGCTCCGGGGGCCTGGACTAGGGCCTGGCAGGTCTTTGGCAGTCGCCTCTCTACTGGGGGTTCAGGCACTGGCTGGCAGAGCCCCCAGGAGCACACATGGCGCAGCCCCTGTCTGTGGATGTTGGGGTGAGGCCGCGTGGAGGACTTGGCAGCTCGTCAGGGAACCCAGCCTGGAGAGACCGAGGCCCCAGCTGTACCTCTGTTGCAGGCGGGTCCCATCACAGACGTGGCCCCTAGAGAGAGGTGAGGCAGAGTTGTTGGCAGAAAACACACAGAAGGGGCTGAAGAGCAGAAGTGGAGATGTGGAGCCGGCTTGCTGGGAGACCCGGGTCAGCCATTGAAATGGAGCCAGGGCCAGGCACGAGGAAAACGAAGCGGTGGGGCCGTACTTAGATGTGCATTTACAATCAGAGCTAGAGAGGGGGCAATGCCAGGAATTAACGAGATGTGAACAGACCCATTCCCCAGGCTGTCACATGGACACATCACACTAAGGCCTGGAAGGGGTTTATTTTCTCCTGCGCTGCCTAGCAGTGATTACAGGAATGGCAACCAGCATGTACACAGTCCACCTCTGAACGGACGTCTGTTGGAGAGCCAGAGCACCAGCACAAAACTTCAGGTCAGTTTATGAGAAAAGAGCCGGAGCAGCCTCTTCCGGATCTGTTTGGTCCTCACCCCGTAGATGATGGGGCTTAGCATGGGGGGAACCAGGAGGTACACGTTGCCAATGAGACCAGGGAAATCCAATGCCAGATTCTGGCCAAAGCGCTGTGTGAAGGAGGAGAAAAAACCAGGGAAGTAAAAGGCCAAGATGGCGCAGAGGTGGGAGCCGCAGGTCCCAAAAGCCTTGAGCCGGGTTTCCTTTGTGGGGAGTCTGAAGATGGCCCTGAGGATCTGGATATAAGACATGACAATAAAAAGCAAGTCCAGACCTTTCCCACTGAATAGCTCAAAGAGGCCGTAGTAATTACTGATGCGGATGTCGGCGCAGGCCAGCTTCACCACGGCCAAGTGCTCGCAGTGCGTGTGGGGGATGATGTTGGTTCTGCAATATGGCCACTGCCTTGCCAGGAGGGGATAGGGCAGTATGAGCATGGTGCCACGCAGCACCACAGCCAGGCCAAACCTCAGCAAGATGGGATTACTCAGGATGGTGGAATGTCTTAGAGGATCACAAATAGCCACGAAGCGATCGAAAGCCATGGCCACGAGGATCCCAGACTCCATCACTGAAAAGACGAAAAATAGCTGAGTGAGGCAGGCAGTGAATGTGATCTCCCTGGAATTGAACCAGAAGATGCTCATCATTTTGGGTAGGGTGGATGTGGACAGGACCAGGTCAGTGACAGCCAGCATGCAGAGGAAATAGTACATGGGCTCATGGAGGCTTGGCTCAAACTTCACAATGAAGAGGATGCTGAGGTTGCCCAAGAGCACTATGATGTACATGATGCAGGCAGGGATGGCGAGCCAGCCATAGGCCGCCTCCAGGCCAGGGATGCCCAGCAGGATGAAGGTGGAGGGGTTGGTGAAGTCGGTGGTGTTGGAATCTGACATTGAATCGGGGAGGAGGTGACTGACCCTCATGCCGAACAGTGTCTCCTATTCAAAACTCACATTTTTCCAACTTCCTGTAGGTGCCCAGGGTGTTAGGTGATGGTCAGAGCCCAAATGCCTGGATGGAGAGACAAAGTGAATGTCAGACTCCACATGCCCTGCCGGGGGCTGTTCCATTAATCAGATAAATGAATTATCAACAGTTGACCCTACTCAGGCCTATTCCATACTCAATGGCGCGCCCGGTGTCAGTAATTGGTACACGTCATTGTGCGTGAAACCATACTTGGCACCACCCGGACACCTGAATGTTGGTACCAGTTATCCTTCCTTGCTCCGTATTGCAATGAAAACCCAGGCTGGAGAGTCCATGCTGGAGGGATTTCCTCATTCACCTGGTAGCTCGAAATTTCAGAATGGAAGAAACCAAACCTTTGCCAAGACACATTCCAGGGGGAACCCGTCAAACTAGAACACACCTCCGGGAGGAGAGCTGGGCGTCATGGATAGCACCTCCACAGAGATACCCCCTCATTCCCTGGATGGGGTTCTGTTGTCTGCTTTGGACTTAGCAATCTTGAGCCCTTCGGTATCATCTGCATACTTTGCCACCTCACGCTTTACCCTTTCTTTTGAATACGGAGGATAGGATGGGTCCCAGTCAAGACCACGGCGGGACGTCACTAGTTACCTCTCTCCATTCTGAAAACTGACCCTGATTCCTTTTCATAGAATCATAGAATCATAGGACTGGAAGGGACCTCGAGAGGTCATCGAGTCCAGCCCTCCGCCCTCAAGGCAGGACCAAGCTCCATCTACACCATCCCTGACAGATGTCTATCTAACCTGTTCTTAAATATCTCCAGAGAGGGAGATTCCACCACCTCCCTTGGCAATTTTTTCCAATATTTGACCACCCTGACAGTTAGGAATTTTTTCCTAATGTCCAATCTAAACCTCCCCTGCTGCACTTTAAGCCCATTACTCCTTGTCCTGTCCTCAGTAACCAAGAGGAACAAATTTTCTCCTCCTTGTGACACCCTTTTAGATATTTGAAAGCCGCTATCATGTCCCCCCTTAATCTTCTTTTTTCCAAACTAAACAAGCCCAGTTCATGAAGCCTGGCTTCATAGGTCATGTTCTCTAAACCTTTAATCATTCTTGTCGCTCTTCTCTGTACCCTTTCCAATTTCTCCACATCTTTCTTGAAATGTGGCGCCCAGAACTGGACACAGTACTCCAGCTGAGGCCTACGTCTTTCCTACGTCTTAACCAGTTCTCAGTCCATGAGAGGACCTTCCCTCGGATCCCATGACAGCTTCCTTTCCTTTTGCCTTCGGTGAGGGACTTGGTCAAAAGACTCCTGGAAATCTAAGTCCACTATATCCACTGGATCCCCCTTGTCCACGTGCTTGTTTAACCCCCCAGAGAATTTTACTAAACTAGCCAGGCATGACTTCCTGCGGGAGAAACCCTGTTGACTTTTCCCCCAGCAAATTCTGTTCATCTGTGTGTCTGACAATTCTGTTCTTTACTATAGTTTCAACTGATTTGACTGGTACTGAAGTTAGACTTACTGGCCTATAATAGCCAGGGAACATTCTAGAGCTATTTTTTTAAAGTGACATCACATTAGCATCTTCCAGTCATTTTGTACAGGAGATGATTTTTAAAGGACAGGTTCTTTCAGAACCCTTGGGTGAATGCCATCTGGTCCACATGACTTGTTACTGCTTAATTTATCAATTTGATCCAAAACCGCCTGTAATGACATCTCAATCTAGGACAGTTCCTCAGATTTCTCACCTAAAAAATGGCTCAGATTTGGGAATCTCCCCAACATTCTCAGCCGTGAAAACCGATGCAAAGAATTTAGTTTCTCTGCAATGACCTTATTGTCCGCGATGCTCCTCTAGCATCTCCATCATCCAGTGGACCCCCTGGTTGCCTCACAAGCTTCCTGCTTCTGATGTAAATAAAATGGTATTACTTTCGGAGGTTTTGGCTAGCTCTTCAAATTCCATTTTGGCCTTCCAAATTGTATTTACACTACGTTTCACAGAGTCTATGCTCCTTTCGGTTTTCCTAGCTAGGATTTAACTTCCACTTTTTAAATGACGCCCTTTTATCTCTCACGTCTGCTTTTACTTGGCTTTTTAGCCACAGGCTACGTCTAGACTGCCATGATTTTCCACAAATGCTTTTAATGGAAATGTTTTTCCGTTAAAAGCGTTTGGGGAACAGAGCGTCTAGATTGGCACAGACGCTTTTGCGCAAAAGCACTTTTTGCAGAAAAGCGTCCGTGCCAATCTAGACGTGGTTTTGCGCAAGAAAGCCCCGATCGCCATTTGCGCAAGAGGGCTTTTGACCGAACGGGAGCAGCACGGTATTTCCGCAAGAAGCACTGATTTCTTAAATGAGAGCGTCAGTGTTCTTGCAGAAATTCAAGCAGCCGGTGTAGACAGCCGGCAAGTTTTTCTGCAAAAGCAGCTGCTTTTGCCAGTCTAGACGCAGCCACAGTGTTTAATTTGGGGTATACATTTAAGTTGGGCCTTTCATCATGCAACCTCCCCTGTGCCACTGAAATGCAGCCAGCTCTGGGCTACAGGCCCTCCGCAGGGGGGATAAAGTGGGACATTTTGGTCCATGATACCACAGCGAACCCCTCCCTTTCGCAAGGGCCCCAGGATGTGCAGCGTTTGGGCCGTCAGCTGGAGGAGAGGGATAGAGAAGAGGGACATGCTGTTCCATGATACTGAGCAAACTCACCCCTTTGCAAGCGCATAAGAGACAGTACCTGTGAGTGCTGAGAGGGACGTGTCTTCCCTGGGAACACCCTCAGGCAGCCGCGTCCCCACCTCTCTCAGCCCAGTCGGCAGCAGCGTCCCACGCCGAGAGCCGGCACCGGGCCGGGCACTGGTTATAACAGCTCTGGGCCGTCCCAGGGGGGTTCCCTCTGTGGCCTGGGGAGACGTGGCATCTGGATACAAGCAGCGTGGAGACCAAAAATACTCTGGCCAACGTCTGATTTCCCCTGGCTGTGCAATATGATCAGCTTTAGGAGTAAACTAATTAAGGGCTTGAGTTGCTTGGAGAGTGGGGAACAACCCACCCTGGGAGAGGGGAACTCCTGGGCTCTGGGCTGAGTCGGGGGAACTGGCTGCTCTGCACATTTATTTATATTGAAAAATGACAGTTAATTAGTAAGAAAACCCGGGGGAAGGCCTCTGTCTGGTTCCCTCCAACTGCCCAGGGCAGACGGGAGGACTGCAGACAGAGCCATCGTGAGAAGGATGGTGGAGGGGAGACAGAAGCACAGCACAGGACGGTTGCTAAGATATCAGCCATTCTCAGCAGCGACTAGCACACTACTCCGCAGCACTTTTCACTGAGCAATCTTGAAAACACCCAGCAAAGGAAAGCCATGACCCCATTATACAGACAGGTAAACTGAGGCAAGGGGAGACATGACTTGGCCAAGGTCACACAGGGAGAATCCAGGAAGAGGTGCAGGTTGTAGGGCTGCGGGGGCTGCTGCAGCACCCACATACTTGGCACCTGGTTTCCCCACGCCAAGCAGCTGTCCCTATTACCGCCCCATTGGCAGCTCCACCAGCCCTGAGCTCCAGATTTGAGCAGCCGCTCTGAGGACCTCCCAGATTCAGCTCCATTCGGGGCCCCTCTGCCTTCTGTCCCTCTGGGCTCCGTCGCCTGGGATCCAGGCCACCAGCCCTGAAGGCTCCACTGGCCCTCGGGATCCCACAGTTGATCCAGGGCCCTCCAGCTGTGCTTAGGTGGCCAACTTTCCCAGCCAGAGGTCCAAGATGCCATGTGCTGCCTTGGCATCCAAGCCACCTGCTCCGGGAGAGATGGCACCTTTGGGCTATGTCTAGACTGCAGGCTTCTTTCGAAAGAGCCTCTTTCGAAAGAGAGCGTCTAGACTGCACGGAGAAATTTCGAAAAAGTGGCTTGCTTTTTCGAAAGAAAGCATCTAGTGAGTCTGGATGCTCTCTTTTGAAGAAGCCCTATTTACATTGAAGAACGCCTTCTTTCGAAAGAGGAACTTTCGAAAGAAGGCGTTCTTCCTCGTAAATTGAGGTTTACCGCCATCGAAAGAAAAGCCGCGTTCTTTCGAATTAATTTCAAAAGAACGCGGCTTGAGTCTGGACGCAGGGGAAGTTTTTTCGGGAAAAGGCTACTTTTCCCGAAAAAACCCCTGAGTCTGGACACAGCCTTGGTGTGCCCCCAGCCAACGGTGGGGAGACACACAAACAGGTGTGGGTGCAGCTCGCCCCCTCACCCTACAAGTAGCTCCAGCGCCACTGCTCACGGGAGTCCTGACTTCCCTGCCAGGACCGTGGTCTCTCTCTCAGGGGCTGAACCCATGACAAGAGGGAACTGGACTTATGGCCCATGGGAGGGACTTCCTTGGGGTGCAACCTTGCAGTGGGGTTCTCCTGAGCTCTCTGACATCCCAGCCTGCCCCCTTTTCACATTCCGAGGCTGGGACAGGCCCAGGTCCGCTCACATACACAGCCAGACACCCACAAGTTCACACCCGCCCAGAGTACAGAGATGTTCTCGCCAGCCTCTCCGGAACCCACAGGAGAGAGGCGGCGTCCAATTCCCTCCGGCTCCCCTGCCCCATCTCGCTCTGCTCAGAAGCCTAAACCACCTGGATGGCTTCAATAATCTTCCCTCCCTTAGCGTGGGGAGGACAAGCATCGACCCCTGTCACGGAGCATGATTCC